GCAAGTAGAGGCAGCGGCTCGAGGAACCATTAGCAAACCTCTGCCTTAGGGAACGTACTCTGCAGGGGAGCCTACCGCGAGCGAGAAGTGGGGGGCTCTAACTGACGCCTGGGGCCACCCGTTAGCCCGAGACCCTGCTGGGAAGACACGTCCAGTGCACTTGCTGCATCTGGGGCTGCGGTGGCACTCAGGCTCCCGAGGCAAGGGTGCCCGAGAGTTGCCCGCCCCGGCCCTCGGCCTGCTCTGGTCGCCCAGCAGCGGCAGAGGGCGACACCCCCCAGGCCTCCAGAAAGGACTTGGGAGGGTGCAAAGGCGGGGCCGGTTCGGAGGGAGCCAGAGGGACCGGGCGCGGTTGGCTCTTGGGAGCAGCCAGAGGGTGAGGAGATCCTCGTTCGGGGAAGCCCAGCAGCCGCGGCTCTAGAGCGCCCTCTTTTCGGGCTCTATCCCTCCCGGCCGATTAGTTCGGACCTGGGGGCTCCCGACCGGGTTCTAAGCCGAGCTAGGGGGAGCCTAAGCTGTCCGGGAGCTGCTATTTTTAGCCGGTGCAGCGGGCGCGAGGTGACTATTTATAGATCAAACAATCCGCGCTCTCTGCGTCAATGGAACCCCTCGTGCGTCACGCGCGCAGACATTCCAGGCCCCCCCTCTCGCCCCGCCCCCTCGGGCTCCCCGGCCCCGCGCCTCCCCCTGGCCGCCTCCCGCCGGCCCCGCGCCGCCCCCCGCGCCCTTGTATGGCCAAAGCTTGCCGGGCCGCGTGCGTCAGTGGCGCCCCCGCCCCTCCCCGTGCGTCACGGAGCGCTTAAGAGGAGGGTCCGGCTCGCCCGGGGAGCCCCAGTGGCGGAGGCTGCGAAAGTTGGGGGAGTACGCATAAACGACCTCGGGATCTCACGCGGGACCAGCCGGCGACTCGGGACGTGGTGGTCCCGGGCAGGAGGAAGCAACAGCCGGCCGGGTAGGTGTCCCCCGCGGGGAGCATGCATCTGTTTTTAGGGGCGGTGCATGAAGGCGATGGGTGTACGCGCGGGCAGAAAGGATGTTGTAAGGTTGGCATGCAGGAGCGCCGTGCAGAGTGCAGCTGTGGCGTGGAGGGATAGAGGTTGGAGCGGGGTGAGGACCCAGACCGGACTGGAATCTACCGGGTGCTGTGGGGGGGGAGGGGCGGAGTGTCTGCAAGGTGGAAGCCGCAGGGGGTTGGAGTTGGCGCCGGCAGTGCACACTTGTCCAGCAGGCGACTGGCATAGTTCAGTCTCCCAGGGTGCCCAAGTGGGCGCATGGTGCTCTGCACTTGGGTGCTATTGGGGGTTTCGGTACAGTCGGAGGAAAGGTACCAGAGCTTCGGGACTTCTGGGATCCGTTCAACTCCCACCAGGACTGGATTTCCAAAAGGGGCTTCTTCAGGCCTGCCAGCCCCCCTCTCTCTGCCCCAGTCGTGTTATTAACACGTTGGAGGCTGTAGGTTAGTTCGCAGGGATTCCCCAGCATGAACTTTTGGGGAGACCTTGGAGTACTGAAGGAAAGGACTAGGTTGCTGGCTGAGTTGTGCAGGGGTACTTGCTGTGTGTTGAAATAAGCTAGGCTGCTTAGGGACAGGGGCAGGGTCTCTTGTAGTGCAAAGGGAATTGTATCTGTGATTTGGATTTCCATGTGTTTGTGTGTGTGTGTGTATGTGTGTGTGTGTGTGTGTGTGAGAGAGAGAGAGAGAGAGAGAGAGGTGGAAACCTTTGCCCTTGGGGCTCCCGTATGGAAGTTGCTCATGTTGGAGTCTGGGCGTCATTTTACCTGGAGAGTGCTCCCTCTCCCCCACAACCTTTCCAGCCCCATATGCTGATCACCTCTGCCCCCTCCCGCAGTGGCCCCCATTGGACCTTACAGGTAGGGTGCAGCTCGAGGCTTGCTCAGGATAACAGGTGCAAACTACATTGTTGCCAGGACCTGCCTGAAGCCGGATTCTCCCTACACCCCCTTCGGCCCCACCTCTTCCTCTTCCCTGTCAGACTGCTCCCCCCAACAAGGCTAGATATAGGTCCGTGTCTTGTATTGTTAAGTACCTGCATGAAGGGGGGGTGGCTGGTTGGTGGGGGTTGATCCGGATGTGGGACGTCCAAGTGGAGAAACAGGATTTGAATAAGGCTGGAACGAACACCCGGTCCTGCCCAGTCCTGCGTGGCTACTGCCTTTCCTCCTCCACCCCCAAGCCATCCCTGCCGGGGCTGTCCTAGTGTCGCAGACGTGGCCAGCCTTATCTCTCCAGGTGCTGTATGCCTGTGGACAGGTGCCACTGGGCGGGTGGGGCCAGAGCTCCGAGGGGCTTTGTTGTGTGAGCATCAGACATGGGTGGAGCTGTCCTGTCTGGGGTCCATGTGGGTGGGAGAAAGGCTAGGACCAGAGAACTTCCTGGCTCTTGGCCAGGAGGTGGTGACAGGCTTTGCCCCCAGCACTGCAGTACTCTGGATTTTTTTTTAGCCAGCTTCCCTCCTTGACTGGTAAGGCCAGAATTATACAGACCCCATGCGTGGAGGTGGGAAAGGGGGCTGTCTTGGAGCCTCTTCTCCATTATTTTTTGACCAGTTTTGAATGTAGGGGTCTCTCCCGAGTGATTCGGTCTTTGTCCCTTCAGGCTCCTTGAGATTGAGCGCGTGTCAGCTCCTTGGCCTGAGCCTGGATCCTCTGGGCTCAGACACTGCTTTGGTGGAAAAACCTCGGGTGGGGGGCAGGATGTCTCCTCTCCACCCACCAGTCTCCTTGCTCCTACATAACCACGTTAAGTCTTCTGCAGGATTCTGAGAGTTCTCTTATAAAAATAACTGGGGGGACAGTTCTCTTAGTGACTGTCGATTCTCCAGGAAGTCCAAGGCTGTCCTTTTCCTCCCTCCAGCATGTGGCCTTTGAAGGACTGGAGCCAGCTTACCCAGTTCCCTGAAGATCTGGGGATGCATGAGGAGGCCTGGGCTCCCTTTCTGTTTGCCTCTGAGAGCATCTTGGGCAGTGCAGAGTGGGTACTTGGCCCCAGTGGATATATTGGGGTGTGCATAGGGTCTGCTGCCTTTGGTTATGGTGCATGGTTGGGGTGGGGATGGAGGACAGGCTGGGGCAGCTGCGTGGCTGCTGAGGCCACCTAGACAGCTGTGCCTTCACGCTCAGCTCCTTGTCCATTTCCAGGATGTCCTTCTTCCCAGGTACAGTGAGGGGAAGAAAGTCAGGAGTTTTGCAGAGGCCGGGGTGTGCCTGGGAATATTCACAGGAAGTGCCTGGTTGCAGAAACAGCCTATCTGCTCCTGGAGCTGAGCTGAGGATTTGCTGGGCTGCCTCTCCCACCCACCCTTCTCCCAGCCCCCACCCACGCCTTCCCCAGTGGGGGAGGGGAGGGGGCTGGAGGAACACAGCTTCCCCCTGTTCCAGCAGAGAAACGCTGGCTGGATGCCTTCCCTAGGGTTCCCAGGCCAGCTGGGGTGTGGCTGGCCTTCCTACTGAGCCCACTCTCACTGGGCCACTGCCCCAGGGCTTTGTGGTATGGAGGTGGAGATGGCGCTCTGGTCAGTGGTCAGGATTCCTGGGTTCTGTGGTAGGCCATGGCCCCGATGCCTCAGTGTCACAGCTCTAAGCTGGGACGCTGCCTGGGGCCGTCAACTCTAGGCCCATGGCCTGGCTGCTCTTTGCGACCAAGCTCTGCCTTCTCTCCCTGACTCCTCCCCTGTCTTCCCTCTCTAGAGATGCCCTGTATCCAAGCCCAATATGGGACACCAGCACCGAGCCCAGGACCCCGTGACCACCTGGCAGGCGATCCCCTGACCCCTGAGCTCAGCAAGCCCACCATGGACCTAGCCAGCCCCGAGGCGGCCCGTGCTGCACCCACTGCCCTGCCCAGCTTCAGCACCTTCATGGACGGCTACACAGGAGAGTTTGACACCTTCCTCTACCAGCTGCCAGGAACAGCCCAGCCGTGCTCCTCCGCCTCCTCCTCAGCCTCCTCCACGTCCTCCTCCTCAGCCACCTCCCCCGCCTCTGCTTCCTTCAAGTTCGAGGACTTCCAGGTGTACGGCTGCTACCCTGGCACCCTGAGCGGCCCGCTGGACGAGACCTTGTCCTCCAGTGGCTCTGACTACTACGGCAGTCCCTGCTCGGCCCCGTCCCCATCCACACCCAGCTTCCAGCCACCCCAGCTCTCTCCCTGGGATGGCCCGTTCAGCCACTTCTCGCCCAGCCAGACTTACGAAGGCCTGCGGGCATGGACAGAGCAGCTGCCCAAGGCTTCTGGGCCCCCCCAGCCACCAGCCTTCTTTTCCTTCAGTCCCCCCACTGGTCCCAGCCCTGGCCTGGCCCAGAGCTCCCTGAAGCTGTTCCCCTCACAGGCTGCCCACCAGCTGGGGGAGGGAGAGAACTACTCCATGCCCATGGCTTTCCCAGGCCTGGCACCCACGTCCCCTCACCTGGATGGCACAGGGATGGTAGACGTGCCCGCGAGCTCAGCCAAGGCCCGGAGCGGGGCTCCAGGTGGAAGCGAGGGCCGCTGTGCTGTGTGTGGGGACAACGCTTCATGCCAGCACTACGGCGTCCGCACCTGTGAGGGCTGCAAAGGTTTCTTCAAGGTACCGTGCTGCCCTGCGTGGGGCTTTTTTTGGGAGTGGCGAGGTGACCAGCCCCTTCCCACTGGGGTCTGTGATAGTGGCCTCCTTGGGGTTCTTCTCCCAGCTGGTCCTGTCCTATAGAAAGGGGCAGGGCTGCGAGGCGGGCCACCTTCCTGGGACCTTTCACTTGCCAGGGGCCTATGGGATTTCAGAGGGCTGGAGGGAGAGGAGACAGGAGAGGGGGTACAGGCTACAGGGTGTCTAGGAGGGGAAGTTCTAGTGGCCAGACTCTAGATTTCCTCTGCTCGTCCTCCCCCTCAGGGTCCAGGGGGAAGGGGTGCTCCAGGCACTCGTACTCCTGGCAGGAGATGAAAGGATCCGGGCAGAGGGCTTGGTTCTCGAGGGCTGGGGGTGGACTCGGGAACAGGCTGTGTGTTTGTCCCAGCGCTGGGTGCCTGCTTAGCTTCCCATCCCCACCCCCAGCCCCTCAGCTCTCTCTCGTCTGCCCCAGGGAAGAGGCAGATAGACACAGGCACGTTAAAAAGTACAGGTGTCTGGACTTTCAGGGAGCCCCTTGCCCCTAATCTTGTGTCCTGGGGTCTTCCTCTTGAGGCAGCAATCTCCCGACCATGTCTCTGGGACTCTCCCCCCATCTCTCCCGCCCCTGCCACCCAAATGTTAGAAAAATAGCTGTGAACAGAGAGCGCTTTTGTCTTCGATGGCAGCAGGATCTAGACGGTCCCCTCCCCTGGGCTTCCCCCCACCCCACTCTGACAGCCTGTTCTGTGTGCCCCCCCACCCCCCGCAGCGCACAGTGCAGAAAAACGCCAAGTACATCTGCCTGGCCAACAAGGACTGCCCTGTGGACAAGAGGCGGCGAAACCGCTGCCAGTTCTGCCGCTTCCAGAAGTGCCTGGCTGTGGGCATGGTGAAGGAAGGTGGGCGTCTGGACGGGGCCCAGGGGGGCAGAGGCAGGCCTGTGCAGGGTGGGGTGGGGCAGGGTCCCTGGCATCTGGCCTGCAGGCGACAGGGGAGGGCAGGTGTGGACCTCTGGCCTGGGAGTGGGCAGTGGCTTCCACCTGCCTGCACTGGCAGGGGGGGGGGGGGGGGGGGGAGTAGGGAGAGGTCTTGTTGGATAACTTGGATCTTGGGGGGATGCTTCTCAGTAGTGCTGTGCACACCTTCCTTCCCTCCTCACCCCTGCCTGTTCTTCTGCAGTTGTCCGGACCGACAGCCTGAAGGGGCGACGGGGCCGCCTACCTTCCAAACCCAAGCAGCCCCCCGATGCCTCCCCTGTCAATCTCCTTACCTCCCTGGTCCGGGCACACCTGGACTCAGGGCCCAGCATGGCCAAACTGGACTACTCCAAGGTGAGGCCTCTCCCCCCGCCCCACCGCCTGTCCCTGCTTCTTCTCACGGAGGAGCACTGTGAGCACCTGCTGTCTGTGTGCACTCTGCTAGGAAAGGCGGCCCCTCCAGGGCGACAGATTGAGAGAGGAGCCCCTCTGAGCTGACCAGATGGGAAAATATACCCCCTCAGATGAGCTGCCAGTTAGAAAACTGCTCCTTCCAGCAGCCACAGCCCTGGCTTAATACATGAGCGTGGCAAAGGCTGAACCTCAGGCCTGCTCTTGCTCCTGGGGCATGATTGTGTGGCACAGCTGTGCATGGTGGCTGGTGTGGGCCTTGCCCGGGTGCTGACCTCTGCCGGCCTGCCTTGTAGTTCCAGGAGCTGGTGCTGCCCCACTTTGGGAAGGAAGATGCCGGGGACGTGCAGCAGTTCTACGACTTGCTCTCGGGCTCCCTGGAGGTTATCCGCAAGTGGGCTGAGAAGATCCCTGGCTTTGCTGAGCTGTCCCCGGGCGACCAGGACCTGCTGCTGGAGTCCGCCTTCCTGGAGCTCTTCATCCTCCGTCTGGCCTACCGGTGAGCTGCCCACTGTCCACTCACTCCTTCCCCTGTGACCCCAGCCCTAGAACCACCCTATGACCCATGTCCCACGCCTGCCTGCCCACCAGGTCCAAGCCAGGCGAGGGGAAGCTCATCTTCTGCTCAGGCCTCGTGCTGCACAGACTACAGTGTGCCCGCGGCTTCGGTGACTGGATTGACAGCATCCTGGCCTTCTCACGGTCCCTGCACAGCCTGGCTGTCGACGTCCCTGCCTTTGCCTGCCTCTCTGCTCTCGTCCTCATCACCGGTGAGTGGCTGGCACTGAGCTGGTCCAAGGAGGTGGGGCTCAGGGAGTTCATAGTCCTCAGGAGGACACTGCCCCAGCGAGTTGGGTAGGCTGGCGTCTGGCACTCTGGGGTCCCTACATTGCCCCGTGCTAGTGCATGTAAAATGAATTGGAGAGGGACTTAGCTGCATCTGACCCCAAAACCTAAGCCAGCCTTTGAGTGCTCTCAAATGGCTCAGGGTACAGATCACAGGTTCCTGTCTATGGCCTCAGGCTTTAGTTTGGCTTTAAAATCTTCCTGTCGATTATGCTGTGTGTGTACACAGTAAGGTACACAAACAATAAGGTTTCCCAAGCCACGCTTCCATAGCCAGCACCTTGGTCAAGAAGCAGAGTGTGAGCAGCTCCCCGGGACCCTTTCTGTGCCCTTTCCAGGTACCCGGAGGTGACCACGGTGACCATGCTCTGCCTTCTAACAGACCGCTTAGCTGCACCTGTTTGCAACTTTATGTAAATGTAGTTAGTTACACAGGGTAGAGCTGGTGTTAAACACAGGGGTTTCACCTTTCTTTTACTTTTTAAAGCACCAGAATCCGTCACTCCCTTTTTTACTTAATTTCACAAGGAACCCAATTACACAGAACAAAATTAGAGGTAGCCCGGGCTGAAAGGGAGTGGTGGGCTTGGAAGCTAGTGCTACCTGGAGGCAGCCCCCAAAACACACCTGTGTGACTTTAGGGCTTCTCAGAACAGTCTAGAACAAAGCCCACTGGCCTTGAGGCTGGCAAGTGACGTGGTGGTTAAAGGTGCTGGGCTCCCACATGGCTGACCAGTTTGGGTATTGGACCTGGTGGCTTGCATTCTACCTGTGTGTGTGTGCGTGTGTGTGTGTGTGTGTGTGTCTCACTGGTCAACTTAAGCCCATAAAATATAATAACAATAATTATAAAAAGAACAAACCCACTAGCCCAGACAGAAAACCTGGACTTTCTTTTTTTTGTGATCTTGAACAAGTCATTTAACCTCTCTGAGCCTCAGTTTCTCCCTTGGATTCAGAGGCTAATAGGTTTGTCTTATTAGGCTTCTGATGAGGTTGACAGCAGGCTCATGTGTGAACATGATTTTGCACAGTGCCAGAGGAGTGAGGAGCGGTCAGCGGCAGTAGGTGTAGAGGCCCAGAAGAGGCTGCGTTTTGGGGGGGCAGGCCCTCAGATACATGACTAATCCAGCACCCTCCTTGCAGACCGGCATGGGCTGCAGGAGCCACGGCGGGGGGAGGAGCTGCAGAATCGCATCGCCAGCTGCCTCAAAGAGCACGTGTCTACAGTGGCTGGGGAGCCCCAAACAGCCAGCTGCCTGTCACGCCTACTGGGCAAACTGCCCGAGCTGCGGACCCTGTGCACCCAGGGTCTACAGCGCATCTTCTACCTCAAGCTGGAGGACTTGGTGCCCCCTCCGCCCATCGTCGACAAGATCTTTATGGACACACTGCCCTTCTGACCCAGCCTGGGAACACATGTGCACCATGTATGCACACTGTCACGCCACCCCATGTGCCTTTTGCCCACGGGCCCCCAGAGCACCCCCAGTCTGGGCTTGAGCTACAGACGAACCCACCTCCTCACCTGCCCTAGAAGGCGGCAGGGAGCTCAGGCCTTAGGAGAAGGGAGTGCATTCATGGGGGTGACCCCACTATTTGTCTTACCCCACCCCCAGCCCTGGCCATCATGTTTTTTGTAAGATAAACCGTTTTTAACACACCACCATGCTGTAAATAAGCCGAATGCTGCTGTAAATACAGGAAGGAAGAGGTTGAGGTGGGAGTGGGAGTAGGAGGAAGGGGTAGGGCCTGGCAGCCCAGGCAACCCCTTTCCACGATCCTCTTCTGGCTCTCTCCTTCCACCCTCCTTCCACATGTACATAGACGTCACCCTAGGAAGAAGACAAATGACAGATTCTGACATTTATATTTGTGTATTTTCCTGGATTTATAGTATGTGACTTTTCTGATTAATATATTTAATATATTGAATAAAAAATAGACATGTAGCTGACACTGGGATTCTGTCTCTCTCTGGCACCCCCTACCACTTACACACCTCCATAATTACGTGAGAGGCAGGGTGACTCTGGACGGATCTTTTGGATCTTACCAACTTGAGTCTCCAGGCCTCAGTTTACGGATTAGTGAAAGGTGAATAATAACACCTGCCTCATGGGATTGTCATGCAGATGTGGGAAGCCTTCAGCAAGTTGGCCCAGTTCCTCGGTAGGGGCCCCAGGGGAGGCCTGGGTTAGAGCACCTACTCTAGGCTAGACCTGACTTCAGGTCTCAGGGGTGTCACTTCACAGTTCCTAACTTGGGGCGAGTCCTCCAATTCATGGTTCCCCCCAGTATAGGTTCGACCTAGAGCTTTTAGGACTGGGGGAGTGTGTGTAGCACGTAGTACAGGCTGACGTCTGCCCCACCCCCTGGTCTGCCTGCTGATCCTGTCGGGACTCCTCCCCTTATCAACATTCCTCCTTAACCCTCCGTCGTGTTGACCACAGAATGTAGGGAGCTGGTAGCCCTTGGCTTCTTAGCAAGAAGCTAGTTTTGTGGTCCCCGCTGTGCCCAAATGCCCCTATCTAGGTTCTCCGAGCCCTGGGCTCATTGTTTATCAGCTGGCTTATGATGCAGACTCATGGGCTCGACCCATAGAGACCCAAGTTTGGTGAGGAGTGGGCCCAGGAGTCTGTTTTAACAAGTGTCCAGGGGCTGCAATGCAGGTGGTCTGGGGGCCTAGAACAACCCCAACCTAAGGTCCAAGGTAGCTAACCGCCACATGAGCCCAGCTCCCTTCATGGCACTAGTGCCTGTCCAGCCTCACCATTCCCTTCTCAGGAACCTGGTAGGAGTCCTGAAGGCAGTGCCCTCAACTGTACCTGTTTCTCCTGGACCATGGCTCAAGATGCCTGATCCCCACTTCTTTGGCCCTGGGAGCAGGCTGGATGAGAGACAACCCCTGCTAGGTGGGAGTCAGACAAAATCAGACTCTGCTCCTGAAAAGGGGGGAAGTAAGGGCCGTGCAGGTGCTCCAGCCACGGCCTGCAGGTTCCCCAAGGAGCGCAAGCCCTGGGAACACATCTGGCTTCAGGCCTTCTGCAGGGTCCATGTGTAGTTGGGGTGTGGAGACCATGGCCCTGACAGTGACTGCAGCCAGCAGAGTCGCGGACTTCCGAGTGTGTGTTCCTGTCCTCCCAACCCGGAGGCCCCGAGTGAGCATCTGCCAGCTGCACCAGCTGGTGCCCCTCATGGTGATCAAGAGATGGGCTGCTGGCCTCGGCCCTGCTTCCGACTCCACGTCGCTGAGAAGCCCTTTCTCATCAAGCCCGGTTTCTGTCTGTTCACTGGGAGGTGAGTCTGGGGCAGTGCTTTGGTTAGAAGCAGAGCTGGACTGAGTCCCTCCCTTTGGGTCACTCTGCTCCATATCTCTGTCTTTAGCACAGATGGAGGTGGAGACTGGACAGGCCCTTGAGGGTGCAGGATGCTTGGGGAGGGGCCCGTGCTTGGGATTGGGTGGGGACAAGGGAAATCTAAGTTTCTACAGATCTCTAAGCCCCACCATGGTGGAAGTAGCTACCATGGTACTCCACGGGCTAGATTCTTGTCATGTGACAGCTGTTTTTTTTTTTTTTTTTTTTTTCTTTTTTTTTCCTTTAAGGTTTTTTTTCTTAGGGAGACAGAGACAGAGACAGAGACAGAGACAGAGAGCAAGGAATCACCCCCCGGGGGGATGGCCATGCTACAATCCCTTCTCCTCTATTCAGGATATTTTGGGCATGTGAGTACATGCGCCTGGCGTGAATTCCAGGCTGCTGGGTTTGGGACTCAAACTGCAGCTGACCATGTGGGAGTCGAGGGAAGGGGCCCCCATCCCTGAAGCCCAGCTTCGGGGTGGCCTGAACCACTACATCACCTGCTGGCCCCGACAGCTGATTTCGAGAGGAAAGCCTGATCATCCTCACCTCGCAGGTGGGTGACATGGCAGGTAAAGAGGACAAGCCCCAGGGCTCTGGCACCAGGTGGCCTGGTTTAATCTGGGCTCCAGTCCTTACTAGCTGTGGAATTTGGGACAAGGTACATAACCGTTCCGTGCTTCAGTGTTTTCATCTATAAGTGAGAGAAATGGTTGTACCTATAGTTGCAATACAGATGACATAAGTGAATACATATATAAAGTGTTTCCAACAGTTCCTGGCACATAGCAAGCACCGCCCCCCCCCCCCAAAAAAATTAGCTATTGTTTTTACGAAAGAGGAGGCTTGATTTCAAAGGCAGGAAATGACTTTCCCAAGGTCACTTGGCTTCTAAGTAGCTGAGCTGCCTGTGTCTGGCTACTTAACCACTAGGGCTCCCTGTCAGGGCCTCACATAGAAAAGAAGCTCTATTGATGATGGTTCCTTTTCAGGACTCTGGCAATTGGGGTACAGGATGGGGGGCTGATTCCTTCAGCCCCGCCCTGCCACACCCTGCCCTGCCCAGGGCTGGAGCCTGGAGGCAGGGCTTTTCTTTCCACTAAGCAACTGGAAGAACTGGCCTCTGAGTCTTGCTAAGGGCTGGGAGCGCGAACAAGGGGGCATTGAGCCTGGTGGGGCCTCACAATGGCTGCTCTGTCCCTGCTGGCCGGGGGCTGGGCCCGTTTCCGACAGGGACAATAGTCAAAAGGCAGTGACGCTGCCGGCAGAGCCTGGAATCCCGGGCGGGATTTTCCAAGGCCTCAAAGCCTGCTGTTTGTCCTCACACAGAGACCCAGGAAGCCTGCCTCCCTGTCTCCCCTGACCTGACCCACGCTAGGCCCTGAGCCCAAAGGCCCTGGACCCCTCTTCAGCCGCGAGGTGTCACTGTGACTCAGGAGGGGTGGCCCTGAGGTCCAGGGACGGAGGGGGAGCTCTGTACCCAAGGGTTTGTGCCTGATGGGGTAGGGGAAGCCTCCCCGTTCCCTGGCCCCAGCCGCCAGGTCTCAGTTCTGAGGGAGCCAGCAGGGGTCAGTCTGGAGGAGTGGAGAAGTTTCTAGGGTCACCAGCAACTGCTCTGGTGTCGAGCTGTGCCGCCCACATGAGCTCTCTGAGAAGCCAGCACGCCCAGCCAGGACAGCAGTGGCTGTGGGGGTGGAAGGCCACTGCATGGTCAGTGGACAGCCAGCAGCGATGTCCTTCACAGCTGGAGGCAGTTGTGTCTGGCTTTCCCAAAGCCATGTCCTGGCTGGGACAGAGATGGGTCACCCTCCTGTGAGAGCCGGGCCTGGGTTCCAAGGGAGTTTCAGTTTAGACATCGGGACAAACCCCAGTCCCTCCCCTCTGGCCCCCACTGAGGCAGAGACCCCAGGGCTGCCTGGCCTCTTCTGAGGCTGATCCCGGAGGGTTGAGCCTCTGGCAGGCAGCTTGCAGCCCCGTAGCTCAGCCGGCTTGGTCCTCCCCAGCCTACAGCCTCCATTCCCAGACCTCTCTGCCTCCAACTCTGCTCCAGTCTCAGACTCTAGGCTTCTGCCTGGGGCTTCGTTGGCCCCAGGCTAGGGTGGTTAAGGCTTAGGTAGCTAGCAGGACCTTGAACCCTCCAGCCACCTATGGGGTACTGGAAGGAGCCTGTAAGCCTGAGGGATAGCCCTCTTCACTCCCTGGCTCCTTGCCCACATACACCGGGAACACTCAGGGCAGGAGGCACTATCCAGGGTCCTCAGCTGGGTTCAGGCTGGCCTGAGGGCTATGGGGCCCTGGAGGCCTGGTCTTGGCATATCCTGGCCTTGGCTGCCCCAGGACCTTGTCCTACTCACCCTCCTCACCACCCTGGCCTCTTGCTGGGCCCTGATCCTGCCAGGCCATGGGGGAGCACTTGAGGTCTCCTCAAGGTCTCACCCAGGCACTGGGACTGGCTAGCCCCAACTCAGGACTATAAATCAGGTCTGGCATGGCTGCGGGGGCTGGGGGTGGCAGCTGGGCCGGGAAGGGGGGTGCGGGGGGGCCTGCCTTGGAGAGGAAGGGGCCCCCACCCCAGGAGCCTAGCTTTGGGGTGGCCAAGCAGGAAACCTGGACTCCATCCCAGGCTCCAGGTACCTGGGATACTGTGAGGTTACATGCAGGATGCCCCTGCTCAGCAAGAAGCCAGGGTGGAAAAGAGCCACCCTTGGGTGCTGCCCAGTGGCACCACGGTAAAACACAACTCTGAGGCTGACCCATGAGGGAAGGTTCCGGGTTTGTATCCAGAGACATCTCTGAGCGCAGAGGGTGGGTGTGCCGGGATCTGTGGCTGGGTGAGGCTGGGAGTGGATCACGTGTTGAGACCCTGTTGGAGTTGCTCTCTTTCTGTCTTTCACCTGTGGAAGGAATAGATAAATGAAAACAGTTGTCGTCCCCCTTGGCCATAGAGCTACAGAGACTCCCTCACCCAGGTGGATGAAAGCTGAGGACCGTCGGAGAGCATCCGCTTCCCCAAAGAATGGCACATGCCTCCCATGGAACAGATACACAGACCTTGCCGGAAGAGACGATTCCTCACCCCTGAGGGACAGAGGCACAGAAATCAAGCCCCAGTCCCATCCTGATTTAGCCAAACTCCCAGACCTTCCTGGAGAAAAAGACACAGAACCCTTCCTCAAAACAGAGGGACACATGCCCAGATCATGAGCGACACAGACAGCAGACACGCCACCCTGGCCTGGTGCAGGTCTAGAAGCTGCTTGACAAGGCTGGCAGGCTGGGGCTGGCAGGCGCCTCTGCTCAAGCTCTCTGCCGTTCTCTTGTCCGACCGGCCGTTTCCTCCACCAGCAGGGTGGGGGCTGGGAATGACGTCTCAGAAAGGGTGGGAGGCAGAGGAGCCCTTGCCCAGGATCCCAGAGGGCAGATGCCAGAGGAGGCAGCAGGGCCTCCTCGCCTCCACAGCCTGGCCTGGGCTGGAGGGTGGGCAGCCAGGGTACGCAGCCAGGGTGCTAGCCCTCCGCCCAGGTCGGCCACCACCAGCAGCCCCCGGCCTGACATCAGTCCCACTCATTGTTGTTGGGGCTTGAGTCACTCCCTGTGACGCTACTGGGGTCAGCTCTGGAGTGGCTGGGGTAGCCTGTGGGGCCAGCTTTGGGGCACGGCTCTCCCCTGGGCACACACCAGGGTGGGGTGGGGCCATCCAAGGCCATGCTCTCTAGGCTACGCCAGCTGCCTACTCCCAAGGTCTTGTGTTGGCCTTCAAGGTCCCTCCACAGGCGCTGCAGGCATGGCTCAGAGGGCCTGGCCACTCGGCCGTCTGCCTGGCTGGCTATGGCTCTGAGCTCAGGCTGAAAAGTCTGTTCTTTGCAGCCTGGCCTTGCCTACCTGGAACCCTCAGTTCCATCCTCAGCCCTCATGGAGACCTCTCACCTCAGTTTTTTTATTTCTCCATCCCCAGGAAGCCCCCTCCCCCCCCAGGAAAGTTCTATAGCCTCGCTTCTCCCTGGAATCTACCCCCACCCTGCCTGTCCGTCTCCTCAGGTTGCTGTCTGGGCTTTCTCTTGGCCACTGCGCTGACCTGTTGCCAGTGCCCAGTCACTTCCCAGCTTGCTAAGAGCAAGGCTGGGGACTCCTCTTCACCCTGAATATATGTCATTTTCTATTCCAGGCCTTGAGCATCTCTCTGGGATGACAGCAGGAGCTTCCACCGAGCCTTCTCTGGCCCCCCAAGACTACCTGATGTTTATTTCTTTTCTTTTTCCCGTTTGAAGTCCTTCCTTCCTTCCTTCTTTTCTCTTTCTTTTTCCTTCTTTCTTTCTTCTTTCTTCTGATAGAGAGAGTGTACCCGCAATGGGGTCCTAAAGCTGCCATCCACCTGCAGCCTTCAGCCAGCCTTGGGGCAGAGGCCCGTGCATGCCCCATGTACTCAGGAAGGTCCCAGACTTGAACCTGGACCCATCCCACATGGGACTGCCCAGCAGAGCACTGCGTTTTACCATCGTCTGGCCCCCTGCTGCCATTTCTTCCATCCCACTTGTTGAAGTTTCTTGCCCAGGTCTATCCCCTGCTCCATCCCTTCTGGAAGACCTGGAACTCTCAGAGGGGAGAACTGCAACGTGTCCTGGTATTACAAGGTATCACATGGGCCTCGCGTGTGCACAGCTGCATATACCAGGCATGAATGAGTGAATTAACAACTACGTGCTGATCGTCAGGGGCAGGAGCACAGGAGGGGGGAATTCATCCCACACGGTCTACTTGTCTGGCCAAGCCCCCCGTCCCTGTTCCCGACAGTACTAATAAGAATTCAGGGAGGTGTGAGCAGGCAATGATTAGCCGGCATGTGATACAAGACCTTCGAGCCGAAAGAGCTCCATGGAGAGGAGGAGTTTTGGAGCAGGGGGAAAAAAATGAGTTGAAAAGACTGGTGGGATGAGGAAGAAATAGCTCTGTGGCCTTGGGAAGGGTATTAGTCAGTGTTCCAGAGAAACAGAGCCAACAGGACCTGCACATGTGTGTGCACCCGCACGGGGCCGTGGGGCTGAGAAGGAAAGACACTGATTTATTACAAGGAACTGGCTCACACGATGGTGCAGGCTGACAAGTCCCAAGGTAGGAGGGCAGCGAGCTGGAGACCCAGGAGAGCTGAAGGTGTCGCTTCAGTCTAAATGCCAGCAGGCTCGAGACCCAGGAAGAACAGATGCTTCGGTTCAAGTCTGAAGGCAGGAAAAGGCCGATGTGTCCTAGCTCTGACACAGCCAGGCAGGAAGTTACCTTTAATCAGGGCAAGGCTGGCCTTTTTGTTCTATCAGGCCTTCATCGACTGGATGAAGCCCCCCACCCCACCCCGGGGGAGGGTAATCTGCTTTTCTCAGTCTGCCAGGTCAGACGATCATCTTATCAGAAGCCCCCTCATAGATATACCCAGAATAACACTTGACTGAATGTCTGGGCACACTGTGTCTCAGGTAAGTGGGCACATAAAATGAACTGTCACGGCAAACCAGCACATACCCCGAAACCTGCTTCCAACCTGTGAGCTGGAGGGGAGGGCTACACCTACTTTGAGAAGTGGTTGGGAAAAGCAGCACGGGAGTTCCTATGAAGGGCCTAGTGAGGCTCCATGTTTGGTAGTAATGGTGATGATGATGTCAGTGGGCAAAGGGTTGGGAGATAGAGTGCGAGAGAGAAGGCCGTCATTCCCCTCTTTCACTGGCAGGCACTGGGGGCTAGGCTCTGGTTCCTCCCCAACCCCAGGGGTGGTCGCAATTTCCCTGGGTCCTCCTCTTTAGCTCCTCATGTCTCCTTGTTTTGTCCAGGTTCCAGAAAAGGCAGTGGGTCTCTGGGGCAGGCAGCATTCTCTTTCCCCAGGCCTGGGAGGTACTCAGAGGGGGCCCAGAAAGATGCTCATAGCTTGGACTGGGGCAGGTGCTTAATAAGGGCAGTGTCATGGGGAGAAAGGGAAGGGGATAAGGGAACAGGGGAGGGGGAAGGCCAGCCAGAGGGGGAAGCCTCGGGTGGGGTAGGTGACAGTACTGGAGCTGGAGCTGGCTGGCACTGGCACTCAGGAGTTTGTTGACCCCATGATCAAGAGCTACTTGGGAACCAGCAGTTAGCATAATGGCTATGTCGCTGGACTCCCACGTAGTCGACTGCGGTTCGTGTCCCGGACCCGGTGGCTTAAAACTCACGCCGGGCACATGTGCGTGCGTGCCCAAGATCCCGAGAGGAGAATGGAGGAGAAGGGATTGCGGTGTGACCATCCCCCTGGGGGGTGATTTCTCGCTTTCTGTCTCTATGTCTCTCTCTGTCTGTCTGGCGAGCGCACGCGCCCTACAGTGAAAATCTCTCCAAAAAAAAAAGAGCTACTTGATCATCTGTTCAGGTCTCTGCATTTTGTGATATCCTAGCCTGAAGTCTGCCAGGGTAGAAAATCAGCCAGTGCTGTAAGGCAAGGTGTGTTCCTACCAGACAACAGGTGTGAACATTTACCAGCACACTACTGCTGGTGGGGCGGCTTGGAGAGTGGCAGTGCATGGCAAGGGACCGACTGGAGAGCCAGAAAGAACTTCTGCAGTGACAAAAACGTCTTAGATTTGAACCCAGGGCTCTATCACTTACTGAGTGGCTTTAAATAAGTTACTTAACCTCTCCCGGCATCATTTTTTAATCTACTGCATGGGATTGATTGGTATGAGGTTTTATACCCTTTTCATTTCAGTCAATAAATATTATCTACTGTCTTATTTATTTAAATAAAATTTTGCTAGAGGGCACATGCACTCACTGGAGATAGACACAGAAAGAGAGGTGGGAGAGGAGAGGAGAGGAGAGGAGAGGGAGAGGGAGAAAATGAGAATTCATCGCCGGGGGGGATGGCCCACAGTATTACCTCCATTCTCTCCTTAGAATTTTGGGCAGCACATACATGCATGCAGAGTGATTTTCAAGCTGTTAGATCTGGGACTCAAACCGCACAGTGGGATTCAGCCACTTTTACCACCACCCCACTTGCTGGCTCAGTGTTACAACTGTTTAGAAGATAGAGCATGTGTTAGGGCAAGGTGCATCTTAACTCCCAAGGGAACAGTTCCGGAGAGCCTTCCGTTGGAGGTGGAGTTATGCCAAGTTCAGGAGCATTAACAGAACTGACAAACCTCTGTCGGCTGGGGGTGTATTACACAGTCCCAGGAAGCTACATGGCACTAAAACTCGTGTCCATATAATACTTTATAGACCACTAAGGTTTTCTACGTGGGTTGCGATCCTTACAATAGCTCCGTTTAGGGAGGAAATTAAGAAGGATGAGCGACGTCAACGGTTACAGAGAAGCAAAAATGACAATCCTTACACGAACTGTCATCAGAGTTCTAGAGAACCAAGCAGTGCTGCTGTTTGAAGATTAAGCCGTTTTCTCCAGCATCTTCGTGAATGTCGAGGCCCAGAGATCCTCCTGGCGGGGATCAGTGCCACTTCTCAGCCCTCTGAGGACCACGTCTCCCCAGCTGGGGCGGACTCCCCGCCGATGACTCTTCCTTGCCTCGGGAGGCAGCGCAGAGCCCGTCAGGTCTCTCCTTCCCGGTAGTCTCTATGGCGGAAGTGAGTTGTTCAGCCGAAACACAACAACATTCTCTATGGTGGAGGTGAATGGATCCGTCCAAATGAGGGGGGAGAATGTTCACCTTTACATCTTGAGACCCAAGACGTAATCAAGAAAGAAATATTTCCCAAAGTATAGAGCAATAGAGACCCTTTCTGTGAGTTCCTGTGAAAGCGCAGGCGACTTGACCAGCTGCACTCGCGCCGGGCTCGGCTGAGCTGGGCTCGCCCCCCCGCCCGGGGCCGCCGGAAGAGGTAGAGCCCTCCCGGCACGCGGGGGAGGCCGTACAGCTTCCGGTGCAGGCACGGCCTCCTGCTGTCGGGCTCTGGCGCCCGCAGAGGGGCGGCCTCGTGGCTGGCGGCTTCCTGACGGGGGCTCGGGGAGGTGGGGCCCGTTCTAGCCGTCTGTCGCCTTATCCTGTGCGGGCGCGGGCGCTCCCCGGGGTGGCGGGAGCGAGGGCGCGCCTCGAATTCCCGAGCCCGGCAAAGCTCGGCGCGGGGCCCCGCCCCCGAAACAGCTGGGGACTCAGCTTCTCCCTGTTTTCTGCACGGTGGAGGTTCGCGGCTAGTGGCGGAGGGAGAAACAGGCCCCGGTGGGAGCTTCGACCTTCTACCTCCGCATCTCTTGCTGCGGAGCCTAATAGCTTTTCGGTTTTGCTTTCAGCCTGTCTGCTGATCGGCGTGGGCGCCGAGGTTGCAGCGTGCCTGCGGACGTCGTTCCTGGGCGTGAGGAGAAGCAAGGGTAGGATCCAAGCCTGAGTAACCCGCGTTCTAGTTTTTACCCGTAAGGTGGGGATTGGGGGGCGTGCCCTGGGCTCCTGCTCAGCTCTGAGAAGGCGGCTGTCAGCCTTTGCCCCTTGGGGACCCCAGCAGGACAACATTTCCCAGGCTGTGCTCTGGAGAGCTCCCCTGCTCAGCGTCAGTGTGTGGGGGAACAAGCCCATCACAGACCACCTGTGGCTGCTGTGGAAAGAGGTTGGGTTTGGGGAGGGCCGCCTGGAGGAGTGGAAGAGGGAAGAGCCTGGGCTTGGAGGTGAAAGTGAGGAGACGTATGGCCTGAATGAAGGCTCGTGGAGGACACGGGAGGGAACAGCTATGGAAAAAAAGAGGGCTAAATCAGAGCTGAGACTGTAGATGGGAAACTGCCGAGCGGAATTACACTAGAGAATGGAAATGAGCAAAAGAGCCGTTCTAATCCTTGATTCAAGAGTGTAGGTTGGAGAAAGGAATCCAGCAGCCCTCGGAAGAACCCAGAATTCCGGGGGCAGGATGAATTGAGCAGTTCCTGGATATCGGAATTGAGTTTCTAGTGGTGGGTAGGATATAATCCCTGTCCTCAAGGACTCTGCTTTGTGGGACAGACAAGAATGAAAGGGGACAGGACCTGATGTGATAGTACAGGTAGATCCAAGTTCTTGCTAGTTGAGAGGCACAGCCAGGCTGATCACTGGGCAGTCCAGTGCTGAGCAGCACCAAGAGGGGCAGAGAGAAACAGAAATACACTCAGAGGAGAGCTGCCAGAACCCCCAGTAGATAAGACATGATGTCGAGCAGGTATGTTTTTGAGGTCTGGGAACTTAACTTATAGAGGGGTGATGGAGTGAGGGAAGAGTTGCTTCTCAATATCTGAAAGGTTCACTGTGGAAGAGGAGGAGCCTTACCTGTGTGGCTTATAATGTCCAACTATAGCCAGTGGTTCAAATCTCTGAGAGGCAAATTCCTTTAGTAAAAGGACTAAATAATCAGACCTGTCTAAAGATGGAATGGTCTACTGGAGAGGCAGTCATTTCCTTTCAGGGAAGGTTTGCCAGCTGAATACTCAGTTAAGCAATTTGACCGTTTCTCTCCCTCTGGCTCTTAGTAAGTAACTTAGTTACTTACTAAGTTCCAGTTCTCAAATCTGTTCTCTCCTTCCCACTCCCTTTACTACTGCTAGAGTGGAGCTTTGCATCTTCTTTTGGCAATAACAATGTTATAATGGACTATAGCAGCTAATACTTAGTGACTGTGTACTGCTTTAAGTGTTTTTCCAGTTTTTCATTCATTCCTCAAGACATACAAATAGGCATTATTAATATCTCCTTTGTGTGGGAAACTGAGGCACATGAATGTTAAGCAGCTTGCTCAAGATTACATAGGGAGCGAGTAGTGGAGCTGAGGATCCAATCCAGACTGGCTTTTTACTCATCATCCTTTTTTTTTTTTAAATAATTGATTGATTGATTAATTTTTTATTTGACTAGAGAGAGAGAAAGGGAAAGTGAAAAGGCAAGCTGCCAGGTCTAGTATTTGAACTATGGTTGACCTTGTGAGAGTCCAGTGCCTTAACCACCATGCCACCTGCCAGCCTCTCATTCATTATTATTGTTATTCTGTGTTTTACACATTACTTTAATTAATCCTCTCTACACTCCCAGTTTACAGATGAAAAAACTGAGGTTCAGTGAGGCTGAGTGGTTTGCTTAAGGTCACAGCAGGACGTAGGTGAACTGGGATTCAAACTCAGAGCTTCTGGACATGAAAGTCCCTACATGCTGTATGTAGTCCCCCATACCCAATTGCGCTGCTTCTGTAGCTGCCACTGCTTTAGTAGTTTTTAACTGGTTGTCCTGCTTCTACCTCTGAATCCACAGGATTTTACCCTCGAGCATGTGGATGGCCCTGAACACATGTGAGATTTAAGGGGGTGTATGTGTATCTCAGCTCCTAAAGTCTAGGTTTCATAGGTTTAATTCACTTCTCAGTACAGTTTGCGACCCCAGAATAGTTACGAGCCATTCTTTGCCCTCCAGCCCGAGTTAACCTTGTGAGGTACAGATTTGATCTTGGCACAGTGATGCATTGACTCTTCCCTGCCCTCAGGACGGATTCTAAAACCTGGTCATTCAAGGCCGCAGTAAATCAGAACCCAGTCTGTCTTTCCTTCTTACTTCCACTCTGTATTGCCACTGTGGTAACGTTGACCTGCCTGTCTCTTTCACGTCATCAGCTTTTCCAGGACAGGGCTGCACTTGTCTTTGTGCACCAGTCCCTGGCAGGTGGTGCACGGCAAGTGTTTGTGCAGTCTGTTCAGAATGCCATGAATGGAATCCAGGCCTTGGCCAGGTGTTTGGACTGCTAACGTGGAAGCTCCGCCTTTCCTGATCTGAGTGTATGATTCTCTCCTAGCGTGTGCTGCTGCAGTGCACACCAGGGCTGGTGGAGGTGGGGACTGAGCTGAGCCTAGAAGAAAGTGAACTAGTAACATGCAGGTCATTCAGAAGATGTCACTCTTGCAGGGTGACCCCTGGGTGGGTGAAGCTCCACGTCTTCATCCTTGTCTTCCACCCTGGTGTGGACCCCTGGCTACAGGATGAACTGTCGCTCAGAGGTGCTAGAGGTGTCCGTGGAGGGGCGGCAGGTGGAGGAGGCCATGCTGGCTGTGCTGCACACGGTGCTTTTGCACCGCAGCACAGGCAAGTTCCACTACAAGAAGGAGGGCACCTACTCCATCGGCACCGTGGGCACCCAGGACGTCGACTGTGACTTCATCGACTTCACCTATGTGCGTGTCTCCTCTGAGGAGCTGGACCGTGCCCTGCGCAAGGTTGTCGGGGAATTCAAGGTATGGCTGTGGCACAGTCCCTGACACAGTTGGCAGGGGGACCTCGACTGCCCCTCTACCCTGGCTCACTGTTGGACCAGCTTCCCCTTCCTGGGTGTGTGAGTCAGGTTCTTTCTGGTTCTCACAAATAGGCGTGTTGAAGGCCCCTCTCAGAAGGAGGGTTTGTGTGTCGGTGGGGTGGTGCAGGGTGGTGTGGGTGGGCGGAGGGAGGGGGATGCTCATCAGAATACCCAGGGAAGAGGGGAAAGTGGGAAGCCCTAGCAATGGTGGCAGCCCGATCCTGGGAGAACCTTGTTCCTGAGCTCTTGACCACCTCTCTGGCTCTGCAGCTCTCCCCATTGAGATCTCTCTCTTTCTGCTTCCAGGTTTCCTTTCACATTCTGGGTCTTTTCTGCCTTCAGCTCCCTCTGAGGTGGATTTGCTTGCCACCAAAGATGGAGTGTCCCCTGGGCAGTGTGGCCTTACTTGGGCTGTACTCGCGTGTATCTGTGGGTATGGAAAGGACTCACCTGGCTGCTAATGTGGTCACTTCAGGACCAATAGTAGTGTGGTTTGTTTGTTTTTTTTTTTGGAGAGGTTTTCGCTATAGGGCACGTGCGCTCACCCAACAGACAGAGAGAGACGGACAGAAAGTGAGAAATCACCCCCCAGGGGGGATGGCCACGCTGCAATCCCTTCTCCTCCATTCTCCTCTTGGGATCTTGGGCACACACGCACACGTGCCCGGCGCGTAAATTTCAAGCCACCGGGTCTGGGATGCGAACTGCGATCGACTACATGGGAGTCCAGCGACATAGCCATTACGCTAACTGCTGGTCCCAGTTTGTTTGTTTTCTAATGAGTGTGAGAGGAGCAGGTATTTTTGACAGTGTTTTATTAGGTTGCAGTCTGCCCTGGCCTCCCAGTCAGCTAGGATTATAAGCATGCATCTCTGTGCCTGTTTAGGTTGGTCCAGGAACTGAACTTGAGCTCCCATGTGGCTCCAGCCTCATGCTACGGTGCCCTCCTGCCTTTGCCATTGTAGCTGGACCTTAGCTCTATAGTTTTTAATTTTTTTTTTTTTTTGAGGGGTTTTTGCTATAGGGCATGTGCGCTCGCCAGACAGACAGAGAGAGACAGAGAGATAGAAAGTGAGAAATCACCCCCCAGAAGGGATGGCCATGCCACAATCCCTTCTCCTCCATTCTCCTCTCGGGATCTTGGGCACGCATACACACGCGCCTGGCGTGAGTTTTAAGCCACCGGGTCCGGGACACGAACCATGGTTGACTTCGTGGGAGTCCAGCGACATAGCCATTACGCTAACTACTGGTCCCCTAATATTGTTTTAATTCAGAGTCACAGCGTCTTACTATTTCAGTGAATGGATGTTTATGAAATTTTATTGTAACAAAGGTTTTTTTCAAGGCACCAGCTCTGGGGTCAGGGCCAGAGGCTGTCTTACTTCTGTCCACAGATGGTTGTGGGGCCCTGCACCATGCCAGGCACTGCGTGCTCAGTGCTCAGGGGCCCGCTCCTAGGCCACAGTGTTCTGAAAGCCACGCCTGCTATTCCCACAAGCCCATAAGGCACAGGTTCCTAATAGGTTTCAAAGTCGTCCTTCAGGGTAGGCAGTGGCACTCAGTCCTCTAGGTGTCTGAGAGGCACACAGTGGCGTAGGCAAGAAGATGGACTCTGGAGCTACGTCCCCACCCATATGTGTGACTTTGGGTGGGTGACTGCACTCCTTGTCCCTGCCTCATGGACGTGCTGCAAGGATTCAGTGCCTGCGCTGCATTGAGTGCTTGGGACTGAGCCTGGCACACAGTAAGCATTGCAGAGGTGTTGGCTGTTATTACTGTCAGTCAGGGTAAGGTGACCTTGGTTTGTCCGCGAAGGAGTGACTATTCCCTGATGTGTGGTTCAAGATTTGAGGGGAGGCGTCTTCACCTCAGGTTGGTACTGACTCACATAGAAAGGTGCTTCAGGGTCCTGGCTGCTCTAGGTGGGCCAGCCACTCTTGTGGGGTGGGATGGGCAGAATTACTGGTCTTGAAGGTCCCGTTTCCTTTCAGAGAAGAGACAGAAGCAGTCTGTTTGGGTTTGTCCTTCAGCATTCCCTTCTGAACCAAGCTTTTTAAAAAAATATTTATTAATTTTATTTATCCATTCATTTATTTTAATTTGACCAGAGAGAGAAAGAATGAGAAAGCAAGCCACCAGGTCTGGGACTCGAACCTTGGTTGGTCATGTGGGAGTGTCCAGCACTTTAACCACCATGCCACCTGCTGGTCCTCCTGAACCAAGCTTTATAGTCCCTTTTCTCTTTTTAAATAGTTTGTGAATTAGGGTTGTCATAAAATAAATGAAATAGAAGGATGGTAAGTAGTATTTACCTGGGAAAAAGGAGGGAATGGCAAGAAGAGGATTTTGGAGGATGTTTTAAAGGACGGGGGCCAGAGGGGAGGGATTGCAGAAGGAACAGTCTTGGTGTGAAGATAAAAGGTGGGGTTTCAGAATTGAATTCAGACCATGGTGCTGCCATTTAGAGACTTTGACTTTGGCGTCAAAGTCTGACTTTGGTGACCTGACTTCTCGGAGCTTCATCTTCTGTTAATGGAGGTATTATCCCTCATGGGGTGTTGAGCAGAGCCAGTGGGATTATATCTTCTTTTCCTGGTCCATGGAGCGGTAGTTTTATAACATCAAGTCTTAACAAAGCTGTAGAAGTGGGGCTTGGAGGCAGATTTTGCTGGTTTGCTCAAACTGCTACATTTCAGGCTGGTAGTTTGCTGTGTGACTTCACATAAATCCTTTCCCATCTCTGGTCTTGTTTGCTGCCAGCTGTGGAGAACTAGCAGAGCTCAGAGTGTGAATCCCTAGGGCATAGGAAGCAGGCCCTGACAGGGCGAGGGCTCTCCAAGGGCCTTGGAGTGCTCACCTGTGACCCCCACTTCCCCAGGATGCGCTGCGCAACTCTGGTGGCGATGGGCTGGGCCAGATGTCCTTGGAGTTCTACCAGAAGAAGAAATCTCGCTGGCCTTTCTCTGACGAGTGCATCCCATGGGAAGTATGGACCGTCAAGGTGCATGTGGTAGCCCTGGCCACGGAGCAGGAGCGGCAGATCTGCCGGGAGAAGGTGGGCGAGAAACTCTGCGAGAAGATCATCAATATCGTGGAAGTGATGAACCGGCACGAGTACCTGCCCAAGATGCCTACGCAGTCAGAGGTGGACAACGTGTTTGACACAGGCTTGCGGGACGTGCAGCCCTACCTCTACAAGATTTCTTTCCAGATCACTGACGCCCTGGGCACCTCGGTCACCACTACCATGCGTAGGCTCATCAAAGACACCCTTGCCCTCTAGGCCTTGCTGAGCCTTGGGAGCTTCTCGATGGCTCCCAGAACGTGGCTCCTGGGGCTGTACTGTTAAGCCTTTGGGCTCTGGGACTCTGGGTCCTTGGTGAGACTGGGAAGGGGCAGTGCCTGCCTTCCTCGATGTGTGGTTGCCAGCCTCGGGTCATCCCCATAACCTTTGCTGACAGTCAAGTCCTACACTGTCTCCCTCTTCCTTCACTGTACTGGAGAGCCACCACGAAGGTGGGGAATAAAGCTGAGAACGTGAGCTTGGGTTGAGCCGTCTCTCCCTTGGCTCATGTCCTGCCCAGGAACCTTAACCCTTCTGGCATGCCTGTGAGGACATAGGAATAATGCCCTACTTGTGAGGGCATTATTTCAAGAGGGGAGTAGGCAGGTGGGATTCAAGAGAAAGTAAAACAGATATTGCTCTTGGTTGGATGTTCAGGTAAGCAGGTATTGCCCACCCTGCTGTGACCATGGCCAGTCCCATGAATGAGGGCATGGGGTAAGAGTCTGTTGCTTTTGGATGTGACTGAGCTGTTTCCTCCTTCCCTAAGAAAGCCGTGACGTCCTTGGCCTTTCTGTCAGCTGGTCTTGCTTTATGATGACCCCAAAGGCTGTCCTCTGGCTTCATGGAGCACAAACAGGTCCCTGTGTGTACCAGATGGGTCATTTGACATGGGATGTCTGTAGAGAGATGAGCCACTTTGTGACTGTGTGTCTCCTGGTGACTCTTCAGGTTGAGCTGGCTCTCACTGGTTGTTAGGACTTTAGTTTCGTGACACACATTTCCACACGTGTACTCAATCTGTGTGCTATATATTTATTGATTTATTCCATATTTTACAATGCTTCTTGACTATGTCTGGAAAAGTTCTAACCAGGCTAAGTGAATTGTGTATAGGGAGGGGTGCTAAGGGAGATTTGGCAGGGAAGGGGGCAGGAGATCTTGCCCAGGTCTTGGAGTAGAATAGGGCAGGTAGCCAGGATGGCTGTGTTCTAGTCTGTCCCATTGCTAATAACAGAAAATACCTGAAACCTGGTAATTTAAGAAAACAGGTTTATTCAGCTCATGGTTTGGAGGTCTGTGATCCAGGGCCATGTTGGTGGGGGTCTTGCAAAGTCCTGATCACATTGTGAGGGCCCGAGCAGAGTGGCTCTCCCTGAACCTGCTCTGGCCTCATTCCATCTCCCTATAAGCGCACCAGAACGCAATCAGGGGTCCTTGTCCTGATGACCTTAATCCTAATCTCTCCCCAAATGCCCTACCTTTCAACTCCATATTGTATCAAGTTTCCTCTTATTTCCATTACAGTGGCTCAACGTGAATTTTGGGGGAACCTTCAAACTATAGCAGCCAGAAAGTGGCACATTTTCCTATTCCAAGCCACCCTTGGCCATGTGGATATGACATTTCATGACTGAGGGCTTGTGATGTCCTGCTCTTGATCTCTGAAGCGGGGGTGGACCACTCAGGGACATTTGTAGATGGGGAAGGCCCATTCCCAGCAAGTCCTTGGTATGTGGCCCCCCTGGCCTGCTGCAGTCTGAGTTGCCTTCCTGTTCTCTTCCCAGCCAGCCATTAACTAATCCCTAGCGAGGGGGTGACTAGTACTGTGTTGGCTGGCAGTGACTTCATGTTTAAGGGGACTCAAGGCTTGCTGTAGCATTTCTCAGGAGGCCCTGGCAGGAGGGTCTTGCTTTCTCAGTTTTCCTAGAGTGTAATTTTCTGCAGTCAGACTCTACTCTGCCACGCTGGCTTAGCCATGAGACACCTAGGTGGGAGTGGGCTGCCCTTGTGGACAAGACAGAAACATCCATATCTTTTGACATCATGATTTCCCTGAGGCAAGGGGCCAACTTCTTCAGGCTCAGGATGGGAGCTCTGGGGGCTGAAACCTCTGTCCTCCCATTGATCTGTAAGTTTGACTGTCCTTCACCTATGGGATTTGTGGAAAGCAGTTGGGGTAGGCCCTGGAGTCCCTTACCCTGTCATGCCCTCCATCTCTCCCTGCTGCGGAGACTGCAGGAGGCACAGGCCTGCTTGTCCCAGCCCAGGAAGAGCCCAAAGGGCAGGATGGAAGAAGAGGGGTATGAATCACTCAGGTCCTGAAGGCTGCACGTTTGCACACGCTCACCCCTCAAGCAATGGGTAGGTTCAGGGCAGAGCCCCCAAGAACATGGGATGGCTCTTGTTTGTCTTTTGTCTTGCTCAGAGGGCAGCACCTAAGAATCTCATCCTGAGCTGCAGCTGTGCACGGTGGGGCAGAGGTGTGTGTGTGTGTGTGTGTGTGTGTGTGTGTGTGTGTTGGGGCTCCAGGAGGTGCTCTTTTGGCTGCCTTTGTGCAGGGAGAGGGAGAGTCTTGGGGAGTGGGCAGGCTGGAGTCACATGGGTGGGGCTCACTCAGGTGGGTGTGTGGGCCTTGTTGAGAACCACCAGGCCACCCCAGTCCCGGTGGGTGAAAAAGGGGCCATAGCCCACGCTGGAGGATCCCTTTGTCTAGGAAGGCCTAAGAGCTCAGCGCTAGGGGTGGGGGAGTAGAGCGCCTGGGATCCGCCCCTCAGATGCCTCTAGGACAGACGCAGCTGCTTGCCCGCCCCTCAGCTCGGCTCCCGCACATCTGGCGGTTGTGCGCGCATCTGGGCAACCTCCAAGCATGAACAACTCTCAGGCTGGTGCCGCGGCTCGACCCGCCTGGTTGAGCTGCTGCAACCAGTCTGGGTCCCCGCTGGAGCCCTCTGAGGGGCCGCAGGCAGTGCAGGCAGCCGTGAAGGCAGCAGTGCTGGGCGTGCTGTCGCTGCTGGTGCTCTGTGGGATCCTGTTCCTGGGCGGTGGCCTCTTGCTCCGCGCCCAGGGCCTGGCCGCGCTGCTGGCCCGCGAGCGCCGCTCGTCCCGCGAGGCAGAGCCCAGCAGCTCCAGCCGAGGTGATGAGGACTCCTAGGCCATCTCCAGGCCCCCTTGGACTCCAGAGCCTCCCTGAGCACGCTTGCTGGGTGCACTGCCCTGAAGCCAGTGGGCCCCATACAGGTGAGAGGCAGTGGGGGTGGGGGCAGGGACTGGGACACAACAGTAATCTCATGGAGGGGGCCGCTGGCCAGAGCAACTGTCTTTGGAGAATCTGCTGTCGAGCGACACAGGTTCAGTTCTGTAAGTCCTCAAGGGATGGGACTGCAACCAACCCAGGTGAGCCAGGATCAGAGGGAGAGGCTGCCCCTACCTGTCCCCAGTCTCCAGATGGTCTCTGAGTAGCAGCACCCTCCCCCGTGTCCCCTCCCCCTTATACCCTATGTCTAGAAGCCGATGGAGAAGGTCACTGTGTAACTGGGAGAGGGCAGGCAGAGGGATGAGAGGACAAAGCCTGGAGGGCCCCTTGCTTTGGAGCCCTACTTCCCTGGCACCTCTGCCTCTCCGAAGGCCTCCATCTGCCAGACCCTACCAGGTACTAAGGCCCAACTCAGGTGCTCTGGCACTGCCCATTCGGTGGGAGGCAGAGGAAGACGACTACAGACACAGGCAGGGCGCTGGCCTTGGACTTCAGCACCCTCTCTTCTCCCAAGCCTTTTCCCTGGAAGGGGTTGGAGTAAGATTCTTCACTCTTCTTTCCTCTTGTCCTGTTTGAGAGCATAGCCAGGGGCACGATGACCCGGGAACTGGGGAACTGGGGAGGTGTGCCGAGGCCAGAGGGGCCCTGGGCTGGGGACGGTTGTAGCCCTCAGCAAGGAGCTGTTTGTGGGCGGGCGGGGTAGATGGAGAGGTTCCCAGCAGCTGGGGGGCCTCAGGGGCACATGGCTCCAGGAAGTGGGGCTGAAGATTCTCAGCTGTAGGGGTTCTGTCTGGGTCTCCTGCCTCTGTCTCTCCAAGGACAGGAACCATCTGGAGGGAAGGGCCTGGGTGGCCCAGAGGACAAGGTAACTCCAGGCCAAGGCCACCTGGGGCAGAGCCACAGGCTGGGGTGGTGGGAGGGCCTCACCATCCCTCCCCTCGGTTCAGCTTTGTGCCTGGGTGCTCCTGGGGGGTTTTTGTGGGTGGGGCTGTCTGTTGGGGTGACTCCACCTCCCTTGCATGTCCCTGTGAGAAGGAGTGGAGCTGGTGTGTGAGGAGGGATGTGAGGGGGGAGGGGGAGCGTGTGGGCAGGTGCGGCTAAGCAGCTGTGAAGCCGACTACACTTGTGATCCCTGCTGAGCAGCCGGGATTTACGCTAATCCTGGGCAGCCTGGCCACACTGGCCCTGGTGAGCTGCTGACTTCTCACCTCTGTGCTGCCACCACACCCTGCCCAGAGGGTTCTGGGGGCAGCAGGGTGTGTGTGTGTGTGTGTGTGTGCGCGTGCGCGCGCCTCCTGGGGCAGGCCCCTCCCGCTTGGCTGTGTCCTGGGAGAAGGGCTCCTTTTTACCCGAGTTCTTAGCCCCCTTACTGGTACCCTCTTCACCTGGGCTCTTCTCTCCACCGTGGAGCCCTTCATTTTACAAATGGGGAAGCTCAGAGAACTTCAGAGAGAAACTCTGAAGCTCAGAGGGGTGGCCTGCTCAGGTGACTGGCAGAGCTGAGAGGGGCTGGGCCTTCTCATCCTGACTGCGGCTCATTCCCTGCAGGGCTGCCCTCTTGCTCTGCCCCTCCCCCCTCCCAGCTTTCCCACCACTTACTCGGGTGCTGGTGGCCTCACATCCAGAGTGTGGCCTCTCTCCGTATAGTTGACAGTATGTGTCAGAGATGCGAACCCCAGACCCATGTCATTGTCTTTCTCCTTTCCCTCCTTGCCGCTGGGAACATTCTTCCTGATGCCGGGCAGCTGGACTCAGCTCCCCTGCCCTTTACCTGAGGAGTAGGAAGAGGCCCCGAGGGTAGCAGGGGTGACATCCATGAGAAAAATTCCAGGCAGAGCAGAGGCATCAGAGTGAAAGGTGGTGGCCTTTGGGTTTAAATCCAGGTGGAGTTAGGGCGTGGAGTGATTCAGTGGCGGGGAGGTCCGTGCCTTGACCACCACCACGTCTGCTCACGCCAGGGACAGGGCTTGGGGGAGGAGGGAAGGCAATTTTTTCTTCCAGCTTCCTGCCTTTGCTGCTCTTCCAGCTCACTGCTTGGAGAGCCAGGTGCGGAGTGTGCTGAGGACCTCAATGTTCTGGGGGAAGATACTGAGACTTTTGCTATGGAACTCTGACCCTGGTCAAGGTTGTCAGGCCAAATGGAGAGAGGAAAAGAATTTGGAAAATTGGGAAGTAGGTGTTGCCGTCACCTCATCTCCCAGGCTCCAGTTAGGCGTGAGGG